GGGGCCGCAGCCTCAACGAACCCCACATCTCCCTCGGCTTCTAATTTACCCTGTCACCTCGCTGGACGCGCGTGCAAGTGACAATGCGCAAATAAAGAGCGGTCAGAGGCCTTTGCCCGCCGCCTTTTAATACCAGCGTTGCCGTTGCGTGGATAACGATACAAAGACAAGGAGCCGCCATCTTGCCGGATGTCCGCGGTGAAATCCTGCCGTCGCGAATAATTTACCGCAAACAGCGAGGAGTCGCCATCTTGACCTGATGCGCGCGATAACAGCACTGACGTTCACAGCAAAAACTCCGTGACCACGCGTACTTCATATGCTTCAATTGCTTAAGTCTGAAAAATGTTTTATCGCAAAATTTCTCGTATTTATTACCGTATCATCGTATTTTAAAACCTATGGCCCATACAAACGAACCATCTCGTTAAATGCTTTCGTTCCTCCTCACGAGCGCTTTTAATAGTTTTAAAATATTTTATCCATATATGTTCCTGCCTCTATTCCTGAACGAAACAGTGACATGGCGTGCCTTGCGATATATCGATTTAGCTGCTTTTTAAACCTATGTAAAAGGATCGATAAACATGGTGTTCGCAACGAACACCTCAATAATCGAGTCTTTATCATGGCTTCAAATTGGGAAAAATCGATAATCGATCATTCACGCCTCGCCACTGGAACGAATGATTTAAAATCATAAGTTTAACCTTATGGCCTGGTTACACGCACAAATTTCCGTCAAATTCCGATCAATATGATGACCAAGATGGCGGTCGAGAGTTATCTAGATTGATGAGTAAAATTAATTAAAACAGCGTGTTGATAGAAATAAGCATGAAATAAGCACGGTTGTGTGGAAATCAGATGAAGGATGAGCCCCGCACAGTTCCATCATCTACCATCAAATTTTTGCAGGCCGCAGAAATTTGATGGTAGGTGGTGCGCACCAGTCATCATTTGATAGGAAATTGATGGGAATTTGAGCGTGTAACCAGCACAAGACCTGAAAAAAACTGATGACAGCGTTGATTGCCCTTTCATTTAAGTTAAGTTTTCCTCCATCTTTCTCTGAGCAAACCTGCGAAGAGGGTAGTAGAGACGTGCTCTTTGGCATGATTTCGCAACGATGTCAAGCAAATCTTATCGCGACAAGTCTAGCGCTAAGTATTATCCCTTGCGGTCCTCTCATTTTAGCAGCCTCCACTCTTCGCCACAAAAACGAGCATCTTCAAGAATCTTTGCACCCTTGACTTTCACGCTGTTTACACCTCTGGTCCCTCTTATTTCTTTAACATACCTCTCTCGTGACTTTGACGGTTGTAAGACTGATCAGTAGATTATTGCTGAAGAAGACGAGACAAAATAAGACAAGCTCTGTATTCGTTTTTTTCATGTACCTTTGATTCCATGTCATCCTCTCCTTCTCCCTCTTTTTTTTCTTCTTTTTTTATTTAGCTACTCCCATTTCTACTGCGTTCCCATCTGACTTATGTTTAGTCCTCAAGGCAATGGCACGTACGTATTTTTTTCAAAGCACCCCATGGACGTAAGATATTATTGCTGTATCCCATCCAAAGATAGCGTGCTTCGGGTCTGAAAGACCCAAGTCATTTTGACTAAGGTTAATATGTAACTCACCAAAATAGGGGTGGGTGCAAAAAGACCCAATTATTTTATCTCATTCCCAACGCGAGTTTAATATCGGCTGGGTTTTCATATCAAGGTTGCCACTTAATTTACATAAAAAAATACCCTGAAATTTCCTTGACTTTCCTGACATGTTTTGGTGGAATTTCCTGACAATTGAAGATACGCCGGATGGTTGATAAGACATAATTAGAGACAGTCTTCAAGCAAAATTTGTTGTTCAAACATCAAAGGTGGCGTAACAATTTTTGCCAGACATTCTTGTCATTTTCCTTAAAATTACCAGGTTTTCCCTGACCTTTTAAAATTCCCTGACATTTCTCGGTTTTCTCGGAATTCCCTGACTATGGCAACCCTGTCATATGAAATTGAAGGATGCTGTCAATGAAATTAAAAAAGTTAAAAACAGCTTTTAATACTGATAAATAAAACGCATTACTGCTTAAGCATAAGTATACAGAGAGGTGGGTCATGGGAGCATTTCCGTGCGATTGAAAAATAAAAGTAGACAACTATTCGTGTCTCTGTGCAGTCAATTTTGCCGAGCTCACGTATTGAAGGCGAACACTCTTGGAACGGCTGTGATGTAGGGGAAAAAAGTCAGTACTTGTCAGTTACGTGTCTTTTCTTTCCTCGTATATGAGGAAAAGGAGATTTTTAAATCCGTCGGCTGCCATCATTTTAATCCAGAGGAGCTCCCCTAAACGAGCGGGAGAAAATTAGGCGAGCCCGGAAGACGACTGCGGCGAAATATTCCGGCAGACTGATTGCCGGCGATTAAACGAGGGAAAACAGTTCAGCGGCTAAATTGCACGCTTCCTCCGAGTTGGGGCCGTCTTGAGGAAGAATACCGTACGGGCCTTTAGACGCTGCCAAATTTTCTTTCATAAAATACGACATTCCTAAGAAATATCCAAAAATTTTTCTTCAACTTTTTCAGAGAATTTAGTTTGTATTTTAATTTAAAACGCCTGCAATTTTTAAGGAGAAATAATCATAGTTGTATCGTATTTTGCAAAAAGGAACCAGCGCAATAACAGCGGTACTTCCTCATAATTATCTAAAAAATCTTCCAGAATAATGGCTGCCCACCAATAATTTGTTAATTTTAAAGGAAAATAACTGTGTGAATTTTAATACTGTGCATATATTGAGTATTTTTAAAAGAAGAGGAGAAGTTGCACTATTTTGAAAACATTGAACTCGTTCCTATTTGCTACATGCGGACCAATTTGACGTATTTCTGCTAACCGGGACCAGAGACAAGAGGAAAAGAAGGAGTGTGCTTGTT